CGATTCTTGTGCCTCAGCCTCTTGAATAGCTGGGATTACAGGTGCACACCACCACGCCCAGCTAACTTTTGTATTTTTAGTAGAGAAATGGTTTCACCACATTGGTCAGGCTGGTCTTCAACTGCCTGCCTCAGCCTTCCAAAGTGCTAGGATTATAGGCGTGACCCACTACACCTGGGCTCTTAGGTTTTTTTTCTTTTTTTTTTTCTTTTACTCCTAATAGAAAGGTTAGCTATATATAAAATCCTAGAATGACTTTTATTTTCTCTCAGCATCCTGATAATATTATTTTAATATTTCTGGCTTTCGATTTTGCAGAAAAGGATCTCCATTTATTTGTCTTCTTTAACTTCTCAGCAGTTGTTTGGGTTGAATTGTGATCCCTAGAAACACATGTTGAAATCTTAATCCTCAATACCTCATGGTGTAAATTTATTTGTAAATAGCATATTTACAGAAGTAACCAAGGTAAAACAAGGTCATTACGGTGGGACCTAATCCAGTATGACTGGTGTCCTTAGAAAAAGAGGAATTTGGACACAGAGATAGACATGCACAGAGAGAGGACAGACAATATTAATATATACAGGGAGAAGATGTCCATGTGACTACTACAAGCAAAGGAACATCAAAGTTTCTTGGCAAATAACAGAAGCAAAGAGAGACAGGGAAGGATTCTGTCCAGAGCCATCAAAGTGCATGGCCCTGTAAGACCTTGATTTTGGACTTCTATCCTCCAGAGATATGAGACAATATATTTCTGATGTTTTAAGTATTCAGTGTTTGATATCTTGTTATAACAGCCCTAGGAAACTAATATAGCAGTGTTTTGTGGTTTGAAGTATACATATTTTGCACATTTTACATTAAATTTGTTTCTAAGTATTTCCTGATTTTGAAAATTCTTGTAAAGGACATGGTTTGGGAATTAATGTTCTGTTTGTATATTGCTATTCTGTAGGAAATATAATTTATTTTTATATTGACTATCCTGCAATCTTGCTAAATTTACTTACTAGTCTTAATAAATTTTGTGTAGTTTCCTTAGGACCTTTTATTTACATGATCATGTTGCTTTCTAATCTGTATACCTTTTTTTTTTTTTTTTTCTGCCTGTATTGCTCTTTTTAGGACTTGCAGTATAATGTTGAATAGAAGGACTGTACTTGGAGTGAACATTCTTTACATGTTCTTTGTCTTAGGAACATTCAATATTTCATAATTGTGATGTTAGCTGTAGTTTTCTTTTGTAGATACCCTTTATCAGTTTATGAACATTCTTTTCTTACTAGTTTGTGGAGACATTTTTCATGATTGGGTGTTAAACATTTTCAAATTATTTTTTTAAATCTATTGAAGTATTTTTCAACTTGCATGAATTACATGGAATAACTGCAATATACAAAAACTAACACTAGAGAGAAAATTTAAATTTACCACCACTTATGGAGATTCCAATATAATTTGCTTTCCATCATTGTCAGGTCAAGCAAACAAAAATTTAAGCGAGTTACAGAAGAATCAAGCAATGCAATTAATGAGTTTAATCTTATGGCCAAATGAAGAACTCTGCACTTAACAATTAATGAATTCACATTCCTCTGTTATAACAATGAAATGTTTGAGTTATTAATATACTATTCTATAATTCCTTTTGACAAATTTTTAAAATTAACGTAATGTTCCCTAATACTATGTTATTACATCAATTGTAAAAAGAAAGATAAATTATACCCGTGCTTTTGAAAATTAAAAAAAAAAATAGAAACTTGTAATCAGCATTTTCTCAAGCTCTAGCATCTCTGAAATCATTAGTCATCAATCAATAGTGTCTTAGAGTTAAGAAATATGGTAAATATCTTATAGTCCTAAGAAGAATATACCGAGAATAGAACTTTAATCAATATACTACATATAAAATTTTGAGTAATACAGGGAAGTGCTAACAGGGGAATGCTCATGTTAGTAAACATTAAAAGGCACAAAATTATAATGTACTCATCGAATATAAGAGTTTAGGAAAAAATAGTGAAATAAATTTAAAGCAGAAGGAAATAAATCATAAAAATAAGAACAAAAATTAATAAAATATGAAACAAATTTCTAATTGACAGAATAATGGAGCCCAAAAGTTTACCCCTTGAAACGAATAGCAAGATAAACCTTTAGTAAAATTTATTAATAGAATAAAAAGAAGTTACAGGATGCAAATGAAAACGATACATCAGAAAATAAATAAAGTTGTGATAATTATAGCAAACACTTTGAAAAGTTAGACAAAATGAATAAATAAAAATGCAAAAATTGCCTTGAATCCCAGTGCTTTGGTAGGCTAAGGTGGGATGACTGAGGCCAGGAATTTGAGACCAGTCTGGGCAATATAGCAAGAGCCCCACCTATGCAAAGAAATTTAAAAATTAGCCAGGCATGGTGGCATACACCTGTAGTCCTAGCTACTCAGAAAGCTGAGGCTGGAGGACTGCTTCAGTCTGGGAGTTCGAGGTTACAGTGAGCTGTGATTGCGCCATTGTATCCCAACGTGGGCAACACATCAAGACCTTGTCTCTAAAAAAAAATTTAAGAGGTAAAAATGCTTAAATCCTTAATAAATATTACTGAACTTAAACTCAGGAATGCAAGAATGGTTTATCATGTATACATATATTTACTTATTTGGAAAATTATATATACATATAAATTATATATACAAATAAATTAGATTATAGAATCTGCACAATCAATTCAATAGATGCAGAAACACATTTAATAAAAATGAAATCTCACTCTGCAAACTGACAATATAGAGACCTTCCCCAATGTATGATAAAGTGTAACTTTAGCAAATAACAATCTAAGGGAAAAATATTTATTTTAAATCACAATTTTACAAATAATGTAAGATTTTTCTCTTTCTTTCCAGCACTGTAGTTATCAGCACAGCAAGGCAGGAAAAAGAAAGGAAACACACAATGAATGGCGATAATGATTATCTACATGGAAAAATTCAAATTAAACCAGAATCACATTAATAGAAGCAAAAAAGAGAGAGAAAAAAGACTAACAATGTGGTTCATTAACATTTACAATGAAATTACATTTCTATGTCTGAGTAACTAATTTAGAAAACATAGTTCTTAACTGTATGTCTAATAGCAATTGAAATTATAAGATGAAAATATATATCCAACAAATGTGGACAATGTGAGTAGGCAAAATTAAAAGTTTTATAGAAAGACCAAACTTAGATGGAGAAAATGCCATGTACATGCTGTAAAATATGGCAGTTCTTTCTAAATTAATGTATTGGCTCAGTGCAATTCAAAATCAAAATCCCTATAGGATATTTTTGTTGAAGATGATAACTTGAATCTAAAATTTATATGAAAGAACAAAAGGACATGATCCAAGATGCGAATAATAATAAGGTGGATGTATTTGCTCTTCAATATATAACATTATAGTAACAAACACAGTGAGTTACTGATTTGTAGATAGACACCCTGTACAAGGGGAAAAAATTAGAATACAGGCCATCCTATAGGGACTTTGATTTGAATTGCATTAGATCCTTGCAGATAGAATGCATTTATTGATGACAGAGGTGACATCATAGATCATTTGGGAAAGGCAGAAATATTAAATAAATGGTACTGAGATATGGGTTATCCATATGGGAAAGGTGAAACTGCATTTATATCTCACACTATACACCACCTCAGTTCAAGATAAATGAGGATGTAAGTGCAAAAAGCAAAATTTTTAAATTTTCAAAAGAAAATGTGGGAGACTCTGTCTTTGCTCATAAATCAAGAAATACTTACAGTACGTGGAAAACACTAATTTTGGCAGGATGTGGTAGCTCACACCTGTGATCTTACCACTTTGGGAGGCCAAGCAGGGGCAGGTGGATCACTTGAGGTCAGGAGTTTGACACTAAAAACACTAATTTTGGCCAGGTGTGGTGGCTCATGCTTGTAATCCCAGCACTTTGGGAGGCCAAGGTAGGTGGATCATTTGAGGTCAGGAGTTCAAGACCAGTTTGACCAACATGATGAAACCCTGTTTCTACTAAAAATACAAAATTAGCTGGGGATAGTGTCGAGTGCATAATCCCAGCTATTTGGGAGGCTGAGGCAGGAGATTACTTGAACTTGGGAGGTGGAGATTGCTGTGAGCCAAGATAGCAACATTGCACTCCAGCCTGGGCAACAAAAGCGAAACTCAGACTCAAAAACAACAATAACAACAACAAAAAGGCCCATTAATTTTAAAAGAAAATATTGAACCTAATAACTTATTTTCATTAGAATGTCAGAAGACAAGACAATTAGAGGGAACTGAATTGCAATATATTTAACTTATATAGGGTTAATATAAAACAGATACAATCTCAATTTAGGAAGGAATCAGCAACATTTTGAAGGAAGCAGCATTTATAAACCAAATATGCCACTTCACCCATGAATCCCCACATGGTACAGCTTACAAAGGCTGATAAAATAAACATCTTTTGCTGGTGTCATTTTTGATCTGATTTTTTACAAGTACCAAAAACTTGTAATCCTTCTGTTCTGGAGTTCACCTGGCATAGTAAACTAATCATTACCCTATCCTTGCCCATTGACAGACAAGCTGGGTGCAATTCTCCTTAAGTCTCTCCTCAATAGCCCATCCCTGTTATATGCCTTCTGTCCCAAGTCCTTTTAGAATATATGTCTGAATTCTATAAATCCTTTTGTGCCCAGTCTATTGCAATGTTGTCAGATAATTGTAGTTTTAATATCTGTTAAACAATTTGTCTTCTGTTCTTGCAGATTCAGTAGTTGCTCCACAAGTCACAAAATAGTAAAAATAAACACAATAACATTTTTTCTAAACTACATTAAACTCTTTCTTTCTGTAATCCTCTCATCTGTCTATGTTAGGCTTTTATTCTGTGCATATCTATTGGGGCTATAAAAGATTCAGATTTGATTATGTCTAAAGCTTTATGAACATCAGCATTTGGAATGAAAATAATAGTAAGAGTTTATTCAGTAGGGAAACATGATAAAAAACAGGTAGGTGTGTTCTTCCTCACCATTATGAGGAGAAAATGAGAACTTAAGTTTCTGATAATAGAGACTTTCTCTGCTGGCAAAGTGCAGGGCTTAAAACAAACAAATGGAAAAATTTATCAGGTGCTTTTAAGAGTATGTTGCAAATATTGGAGGATAATTCTGGGACATTTTAATGATCTCTGCCTTAGCTTATGCAATGTGAGTTCTCAGTGTTTTATAAACCATACACAAAATAGCTTATTTTCTGATAAAATTAAATTCTGTGGAAAGAATAATGTGTACTGGAAGAAGATAGACAATATCTTTTTGAAATAGCGACAGTGTCTTCGTTCATTAGATGTTTCCTGATACCAAGGAAGGAAAAATGCTTTAATAAAGAATTATGTTGTGTAGGATGTGTCTGTTCCTGAAACACATGAAGGTGAAAGATATTTAAATATCACAAATAACAACGTTTGTTTTTATGTGCAATAATTTCATATTTAAGTGTGTAGTCATAATCTGCTTTAGCCCTCAAAGCTCTGGTTGATTTAATTTGATGCTATTTTTGCCATAAGACTCCCATTTAAAAATTTTGCTGTAGAATTGTTTTGTGAGGAAAAACACAAACATAGTGCTATTGAATTGTAATAACTATGAGTGCATTTCCTAGGCTATTTCTTGGAAAACATACCAAAGTTCACAATTTAGATGTATTAGTATTGTAGATGACTTTTTTCCTATTGTTTTCTCAAAGCAATAAATAGCTTTTGGCTAGTTTTTTAAAAGGATATTTAAGATGTCTTGAGTGTACTTCTCTGAATTATGCTTTCTCTCCATGAACATGAGAAGTAAGGAACTGACTATATTCAATGTATTAGTCATGCATATTCAAAAAAGATGCATTAATGCATTGGAATATAATGCATTGTGTTTTGAAATTTATCTGATCTTAAGTGCCTTTGTAAGCATCTAAAATTATCTATTTTCTAGTAGATTTTATCAATCAGTACTGGATAACTTAGCCACATTATTTAGTATTTAATGTTATTTTAATCTTTAAACCATTTAGGATCTTTATCTTATACCTTTACAGAATAATAATTGTACAAATTATTAACTCTTCATCACCCATATCCTCACATCATGAAATGTGTATGGAAATAAGTGATGATGAGCTCGTAATGACTTTTCTTCTGTACATATTTTTTGTTATTAACTAATTCATTCAGAATTCTTTCATTTGTTTTTCAGGTGTGTGAGGGATTTGCTTCTATAAATAATCAGCATTTTAATTATTGCCGTTGTTTACTTCATAGGGTCAAAGAGAATAAGTGATAGTGAAGTCTCTGACTATGATTGTGATGATGGAATTGGTGTAGTATCAGGTAAGAATTTTATAATTATTTTATAGTATTAAAAAGAGAGTGTAATTTATCATTATTTACTATAAAAATAAATAAATAAAAGAGAAATAAATAACTCGCCTCCTCACCCTTCAAAACAGCCTATGGCAACCTATGACAACTTAAACCCCTGAGTAATACCAATTCCTAGAACACCTGTACAATTAGGCTGAATAGTCTTGAAAGGTGCCAGATAAGTAGATGTTACTAAATTTTTTATTTTAAGACAATAATAAGGATTTTACAATAAATTAGAGGAGTTATTGCAAAATTCAGACTTCTTTATACTGTACTAATTATGGTGAAAAAAAGATGAAATCTTTTTTATGTAACTACCATATCTAAATATGTCAAATATTTAAATGGGAGTTTTTGAAATTTTAAAATTGTTTTTATATGTAGTATCATTTACAGCCACATTTTGAAATTATGGTATTGTAGTTTAAATTATTTGCCTCATTTTACTGTTAGAAACTTATCCAATCATTTAGTATTTTAGGTAATATATATATAATTTTCTTGCAAGTTCTGATGACAATGTTTACATGTAATACCCTTAATATTCTAAAAATAAATATATTCTAATCCTTTTGAAGGTTAAATAACCTAGTAGATTTTATAATTATGACTAATTTTACTCTCAAAAAATACATGTTAGAAATGCAAGAGTTGAATTAGTGGTTGATAACAATATTTTGTTTGTCAATTTTTGTTAACGTATGAGTCAGTTAGCATGCCTGTATCAGTTTGTCACTTAAAAAACTCACTACTTTTCCCCTTTTTTTGTATTAATGGTGAACAATATATTAACTTACTAAGGCTACAAAAATATTTTTCATGTGTTATGGTTTATAAAAGTTAAAACTCATAAAGTAGTTTTAAGAAATATTTCCTATGATCGCTTTCTTGGAAATTGTTAAATTTTTTTTTATTTGTGTCCTATTCCTTTATGTGACTATCCCACTTTTTATCTTTCATAAATATCTAGTCCATCAGGTTTTATTCATCCAAATTATTTCCATTCAAATCATTCATCTTGATGTAGTTTTTGGATGTTTCTATCCTTTCATTTTCTACTTTCAAGATGAAAAAAATTATTTATTTCATATGATTATTTTTAAGTTTTTCCCTTCAGGAGTCATAGCTTTTGAAAAAATTGTATACTCACTCTTTCATTATTTGGGTTAATACTCTCTGGAATAATTTTTTGGTACTACAGAATAGTGTTTAGAAACCCTACCCAACTCAAAGTGCTTACTCTGGAGTCATTATATTTCTTCATCATGAAAAACACATTCTTTTCTGACTTGATGTTATTGTTATTATTATTTTGCCAGTCAGAAACTGTCTGGTGAATCATTTAATAAGACACTGAAAAGAATGCCATGAAGTATACTATATTTTGCTATTTTGAAATCCAATGTGATTTTCAGACATAGATTTTTGTATGATATACTATACTTCATTATTTATTTTTGAGACAATGTCTCAATCTGTCTCCCAGTCTGGAGTGCAGTAGTGCAATCACAGATCACTGGATCCTCAACTTCCCCAGACTCATGTGACCCTCTCACCTCAGCCTCCCCAGTACCTGGGACTACAGGTGCACACTACCATGCCCAGCTAAATTTTGAATATACTAAACTTTAACAATACTTTTAGTACTCTAAAATTAGGATGATGGTATTGTAGTTTCTGAAATTATGATATATGTCATTTTTTTGTAACTGGCCACTTTACTAAATGCTGTAGAAATTACATTTACATAATATGATAACCAAGATTTAAATATATATTAGTTCTGTTAAATATTTTTCTTACATTTCTTCTTTATGGCCTTTTCATTTTACAGTTCCAATACTAAAACTAATTTTAGTAGAGAATAAATGCTTTAATCAATAGTATATCAATAATGTAAGGACCACCAGATAAAAGTAAATAATATATTTTCTGGGTAAAGCAATTCAGATGTGAATTGCAATGGACACATACAAAATGCATACCCCCGCCTCTCTTAATAATATTTAAACACATAGTATGAGTCAATAAACCAGCAAAATCTATTGATATTTTGTTGCTTATATGCTGAGATTTCTTTCCAATTGCACATTGAATAAGGTCAAATTCAGAGTATCAGTTACAATCATTCATAACCCTTTTAAACCTGAGCTATCAAACTGTTCTTAAGTAGAAACTGTTCCCACTAACTTATTCAGTTTTTCTAAGCTTGCAAGCCAGATGTCTTGAATATTAACAACTTTGCCAGAAGTAATATTTTCCCTGTGTTTTTTTTTCTTAATTTTAGAGCAGCATTAGGTTTATATAGCAAAATTGAGAGAAAGGTATACAGATTTCCCATATGTCTTCCTACACCCACACATTGACAGCCTTTCCTGTTATCAACCTTCTCCACCAAACTGGTATGTTTGTTACAACTGATGAACCTACTTTGACACATAATCACCCATGGTCCATAGTTTTTCTTAGGGCTCACTCTTGGTGTCAAACATTTGTTGGGTTCAGGAAAATTGATAATGACTTATATTCATTATTACAGTACCATGCAGAATATTTTCGCTGCCCTAAAAATTCACCTTTCCTTTTTTCCTAATCACTGGCAATTATTTATCTTTTTACCATCTCCATTGTTTTGCCTTTTCCAGAATTTCGCATAGTTGGAATCATATAGTTCGTAGTCTTTTAGACAGGTATCTTTCACTTAGTAATATGCTTTTAAGTTTCTTCTTTTTGTTTTCATGGTTTGATAGCTCTTTTCCCTTTAGTGCTGAATAATATTCCATTGTCTGGATGTACTACAGTTTGTTTATCGATTCAACTACTGAAGGACATCTTGGTTGCTTCCAAGTTTTAGCAATTATGAATAAAGCTTGCTGTAAACATCTGTGTGCAGGTTTTTTATGTGGACATGTTTTCAACTCCTTTGGGCAAATGCCAACCAGCACAATTGCTGGATTGTATGGTAAGAGTACAGTTTTGTAAGAAACTGCCAAAATGTCTGTACCATTTTGCATTTTCACCAGCAATGAATGAAAGTTCCTGTTAAATGAGGGCTCCTGTTGTTCCACATCTTGCCAGAATTTGATGTTGTCAGTGTTCTGAATATTGACCATTCCAGTAGGTGTATAGTGGTATCTCATTGTTGTTTTTATTTGCATTTCACTGATGACATATGAGGTTGAACATCTTTTCGTCTTTTTGTTTGCCATCTGTTTAATTTCTTCAGTGAAGTGTCTGTTCAGGTCTTTGGCCCATTTTTTAAAATTGGGTTGTTTGTTTTCTTATTGTTGAGTTTTAAGGTTCACTGTATATTTTGGACAATAGTCCTTTATACGATGTGTCTTTTACAAATATTTTCTCTCAGTCTGTGGTTTCTTTTATTTTCTTGACATTGTCTTTTGCAGAGCAGACCAGTTTGATTTCAGTGAAATTCAGGTTATTAATCATTTCTTTAATCAATTATGCCTTTGGTGCTGTATCTAAAAATTTATCACCATACCCAAGGTTATCTATGTTTTCTCCTATGTTACCTTCTAAGAGTTTTAATATTTTGCATTTTATATTTACATATATGATGGATTTTGAGTTAAATTTTTGAAGAATGTAATGTCTGTGTCTAGATTCCCTTTTTTGCATGTGAACATTCAGTTGTTTCAGCACCATTTGTTGAAAAGACCATCATTGTATTGCCTTTGCTTTTTTGTTGCCAGAGATCAGTTCCATATATTTATATCAGTTTATTTCTAGGCTGTCTATATGTTCCATTGATTTATTTGTCTATTCGTTGATCAATCAGTACCACAGTGTTTTAATTACTGTAGTTTCATAGTAAGTATTGAAAAGTCAGATATTGTCAATTCTTTAACTTCGTTCTTCTCTTTCAATACTGTGTTGAATCTTCTGTCTTTTGATTCTTTATATTTACTCTGGAACCTGGTTCCAGTTTCCACAAAATAATATGCTGAGATTTTCACTGAGATTGCTTTGAATCTGTAGGTCAAGTTGGGAAGATTGGACATCTTGACAATATTGAGTATTCCTATACATGGAATATCTCTTCATTTATTTAGTTCTTTTTTATTTCATTCATCAGCATTTTTTTGTTTTTCTCATATGGATCTCACACATATTTTGTTTGATTATACCTAAGATTTCATTGTTGGAGGTTTCTAATGTATTGCACTTTTAATTTTACTTTATCATTGCTGATATATAGGAAAGTTATTGACTTTGGAATATTAACCTTATAATCTACAACATTTCTATAATAACTTACTAGTTCCTGGAGTTTTTTGTTTGTTTGTTTCAATTGTTTTGTGTTTTTACATAGACAATCATGGCATCACAAAGAGAGTTTTATTTATTCCTACCTAATCTGTATATGTGTGTTCTCTTTTCTTCGTTACAGAATTATCTAAGTACTTCCAGTACAGTATTGAATACACGTGGTGAGAGTGGACATCCTTGCCTTGTTTCTGATCTCAGTGGGAAAGTTTTGAGTTTTTTGTTGTTGTTGTTGTTAAATATGATGTTAGCTGTAGGTTTTTTGTAGGTATTCTACATCAGTTTGAGGAAGTTTCTCCATATTCCTAGTGTACCAAGCGTTTTTAGTAAATTCAGAATGTTAGATTTTGTCAAATTGTCTTTTCTACCTCTATTGATATAGTCATGTGATTTTCTTTCATAGCCTGTTGACGTGGTGGATTACATTAATTGATTTTTGAATGTGGAACCAGCTTTGTGTATCCATGATTAATCCTACTTGATCATTGTGTTTAATTCCTTTTATACATTGTTTGATTCAGTGCGCTAACGTTACATTGAGAATTTTTGCATTGATGTTCATGAGAGATATATTCTTTTCTTGCTAGGTCTTTGTCTGGTTTTGATATTGAGGTAAGACTGGACTTATGACTTAAGGAGTGTTCTCTCTGGTCATGTTCTCTGAAAGAGAGTGTAAAGAA